GTGTGTGTATGTACATGCTACAAATATACATACGTAATAGTTAATAAAAATAAAATGATAAAAATAAATAGAACCACTTTATCTCTAAAAAGAAAAGTATATTACGGCGCGATATTAATTTTGTATGACTAGAGAATTGTGGCATTGAGAGGCAATTAAAATTATTGAACAATTACTATTAATGTCTTTCTCTACTGAACGAAAAACTTAGTTTTTTTCTTTTAGCTTTTCTCCTAATAAAGGATTATATTAGTCTTTACATTTTTAACTCATTTACAATTAAAATATCCTTATTATTATTAGACAAACTTTTGACATATGCTGTAATAAAGTTCATTGAATATTAAGAGGTTAGATATGAAAATTAATATAATGAAAAGTAGAATCTTTTGTATTTAAAAAAAGCAATCTTCGAATTTTTATGAATATTTAAAAAAATAGAGGAAAATAAAAAAAAATCATATAAAGATAACTAAGGACATGTTATTTTATCAACCTACTTTAATTTATAAAATTACTTGAATAATGTTTTAAATTTATATTATTAATAATTTTAAGTAAAATTAATAATTAATAAATAAAAGCAACAATTTAGAAAATGGATCCAAAATTATAATTTAATACTCCGAAACAATATAACGATCTCTTAATATAGAAATGATATGCCATGCTCAATTCAAAGATAAATTTTAAAGATATTAAGAGTCATGAATTCATCAGCATCACGAAAAATATTGGAAACATTGATATTATTTCTAAAAATGCTAAACCTTCTACTTTTATATTACATCTAACCTCTTAAATGAATTGTACTTCTTACATAAAGTTTGTCCATTATGTCAAAACATAAAATACAATAATGTTAAGTATGCATATTTTACATATAAAATGTAAACTTTTAGATAGGCCTTTGATATTAAGCATAGGCATTATTAGATCGTTGGCCACACACAGAGAAAGAAGATATAAAGGAAAATAGAGAGAAAGAAGCATTATGCTTTCTCCGCATCTTGTCTAATTAAAAATATTTAGAAGACGTAACCTCTATATAACATCAAAAGTGTTCGGACAGATCCACTCTTGGATGTATCGCGTCTACTTACTTATTATAAAATAAATCATGGATTCGTCATAATAAAACAGATAAAAATCACTTTATTTCGTTAAAAATTACGGTTATTGCGCGAATCAGACACTATTTAAATAAAATTTCTAGCGTTAGGATTCTCTGTTTTTTCTTAAAGAGGAATCTTGATGTAATAGGAGTGGTATTCTTTCTTGTCTAACCTCAGGAAGTGTCGCTAGTTCTTGAACCGGACTACGCTGCCATATACTTCTTGTTGCCATTTCTTGGTAACCTCTTCTTCTTACCTAAAAAAATAGATATTTCTATTTTTGACATATCTGAGCACTCTTTCCAAAATCATGATTTTTAACATTAGAAAAGTTTATTACAACATAAAAATAATTGAGATACTTACTTGTCTATGATGAAGCTCATGCAGGTACAATGTAGACAAAGACATGTCGGCAGCAGTTAATTCTGTAGGTATATACGGATCCGTATGCGTTTCCATGATATAACTGTGGCCCGATCCAAACACAGAAGCACCTAGCGACTGATTCGATATGCCTTGCTGCAAATCGTATAGGAATCCTCTATCATTGTGCAACGGACCTTCTGTCCTAGACACGCCTCGACGTAAAACGGTTGATTTTGTGGCCAATGATTGATCGATGCCGACCGATGTAGTCGATGTGCCCGGTTGATTTATGAAGATATTACTCATGCTAGGTACACTCACTTGATTTATCGTGCTTCGAATAATATTCGATACATGATCTCGATACTGTAATAATATATTAACATTAATGGTATAACAAAATAAACAATTTTAGTAAAATTCGCCAATAAATAAAACGAAAATCACTTACGCCAAGACCGGACAAACTATTCAAACTAGCTATCAGGGGATTATCGTAAGGATTAGAGTCGGCAGTTACTTCCTTCTTAGCTCTTTCTCTCAAAGCAGTTACGAAATTTTCCGCATGGGACGGCGGCTTCCATTCAGGATTCGTTAGAGTGAAATGTATGAGGGACAATTCGGTCTTGCCGTCCTCTGCTTGGGTATAATGATTTGACATCGGTACATGGTACTTGTCTGAATCGATGCCATATTGATTGTCGTATCCCACACTTTGATCTTCCGGCATCGGTGAGACAGTGGGACTGTGCGCTACAGTCTGCCACATAGGATTGCCATGTCTGCGAACGTCCATCTGAGCAAAGCTACACACGTCACCAACTCCAGCTACTTCAATCGTAAAATTACGAAAAAAGTCTACAATCTCCAAAGCTTGGTGTCTCATACGGAAGCACAAAATATACGTCGTCACGAATGGAGAAACCAGCTCTTCCAGGAGGTGTACTGCGCGATACTGAAACAATTGCGCTACTTGAGCCCTGGTGGTGTGCGTATGAGCGGTGCCTCGCCAACTATCCGGTCTATAATGTGTGTGGGCTAGCACGGCGGTTAGAAGAGTTTCGGGACACCAGACTAGGTTTTCATCGGGCACAATCGCCTTTGCGGCTGCTGCTACCGCGCCCAGCATGGTCATGTAGGCAACCACGCGTTCCATCGAGAATATGGGCTCGTAAATTACCGTTATAACCAGTAATACCGCTAATACACTACCGGCGATAAACGCAGTATGCTTTGCGAGTACTGTCATTATCGGAGATGTAAAACTACTCATGTATTTCGAAGCAGGACGGTACGCGCGACTGAGACGCGCATTCAATTCGTGATCGAGTTCGTTGAAATGACGCAGGTACAATCGACCGTATAGAGACCATGTCCTCATTGCCAGGACACTTGGTTCTCGTTTAATAGTCTGTCGATAATATTATTATCGTATGTTATTATTACATGTTAAAATCATCATGTTAAAATTCTCACAAACAATTACTCACCTCAGCATAATTAAAAAACGTATACAGGACTTGCCATAGAAGAATAAGGAAACAAAGGACGAAATTTGCAATACCGATCCATAGAATATGTTTAGATAATAAACGTGCGAGTTCTTGCCTTTTATTCAGTTTTTTGTAATCCTCCTTTAGATGCCAATTATTTTCGAATGGTGACCATGGTCCCCCTAAAAAACATACATGACATAAATTATTATTTCTATCATAAATTATCTCATTATATATCAATTGCAACTATACTTACAAAAGAGTAATAATTCTATATTATATTTTAATCCTCGTGTTAAGAAAATGACTTCTCCAATGATGGGGACTTTCAGCCGTACAGGTAAAAGAGATTTGTTGATCATAGCTACCATGTAATTTTTATGTCTTAATATTCTATGGTATATATCTAGTTCTGTAAGTTCTCTTTTATGAATGCACATTTCCTGCTCCTTTTGCACTTCTATCACACGCTTCTGTATTTCGTGCCACGTGAAATTATCTAGCTCGCTGTCCGCAATTTTGAGCGCTGTATTGAAGAACATTTTGATCTCCCAGAATTGCGTTAGGTGGTATAAAACCTTGAGAAATTGAAGAGTAAAGAAAATTGCCGCAACTACGAGAAGGCCCCAATAAAACGAAGAAATCGATTTAATGCAATCTCCGATGCACATTATAGCATCGCTTTTGTGACTGGTATCGTTAGCATCTCCGCCACCACTAAAAGTATAAATTGCCAATTAAATATCGTTTGGCATAATACATATATCGCAAGACAATTTTCGCAAGCGTTTGAGATCATACCTATATAATTTGCTGTAGTCGATGCAGTGAAGAAGAAAAGTAACGAAGGTGACTACAAAAAAAAATTGCACTAATTCCAAAACTTCTTGGAGCATCATACAGACAAAGCCGTGCTGTTGATGATAGTGGTACATTCGCGTGAAAAACGAATCCAGATCTTCGATGTGATTCCATCGTGCTTTGTTTCCCTCTGGTACTACATGGATGATAACTCCTGATTCTTGAGGCGTTTCCTCCCGATCGTCTTCATCATCTGCATCTTCCTCTTGCCCCTCGTAAGGTTGTATACGTTGATAACTATTGTCCAGTACTGTCGTCATCTGCAAACGCGTTTTATGTAAAAATATATACAATTCTTAGAGTAATTCATTTAAAAATTAATATCATGAGATAAATATTTAGATGTAATAAATTTAACTAATAATAAGCTGATAATTTTCACATTTTCAATGCATGAACAAGATTGTAGTAATTAAATATGCAAATGATGAAAACCATCATTTATTTTATTTATGTAGATATAAAATTGCAATCTTTGAAAAAAAAATATATATATAATTAGAATGTAAAAATGTGTAATCTTTAGATCTTACCGTTTGCGCTCGTCGATCAGGCTCTACACAGGTAATGACAGTTTCTCGTTTCATTCTTTCATGTCATAAAATTTATTTAGCTACCAGTTGGTGGTTGCTCCACAAGCATCTAAAATATAAGTCAATTGCTAAATTAAGGCACATTAAAATAAAAGTTTCTAAATGTAATATATTTTATCATTAAAAGATATAATATATTGACATAATAGGCAAGAATCTCATTTCTATTTTATTACACAAGTCACTTCATTAAACTTTTATTATTTATAATCTGTTATTAGATAACTCCATATATATTAATAATTTAAAGTAATTTTATAAAGTTGAAAATTAGAAAATATAAATGTTAAGTTTATATTATGCTATTAGATTTATTAATAATTGTCGTCATCTTGTATCTAAAAATATATAAACAGGCAATCAAAAGTATAATAATCAATTAACTTGGATTTAGCACAAAGGTAATACAATAAACTTATGCACTGAAATAATTATTTATTCTTTATGAATGACACACGTTCTTATCCTATCACCAAGCTAGAAGCGAAAGGAACTGCTAAATACGTTCCAAATGCATAGCATTTAAATAAATTTTTCCTTTATTATCATTCCTTTCGAAAAATTTTCTTTATTGTATCGTCTTATCACGGGATTAACTTTGTCTATCACCTAACTGATTACTCATCGAATTGCACATTTCACCTTGAACGTTTCCTAGAATTAATATTAATATGCGGGACACTTCTCTTTCGCGCCCACTTTTGCCCCGAATAGCAATACCTAGCAACGATTCAAAGTGATTCGAAAATCTAAAACACTTGCGGTAAGCGACCCACGAGTCTCACGTCTCACGTGCGAAATTCGTCCAAACTCACGGCACGAAGAAGACAAAGACTTGCGATACTCCGACATGAAGTGCGACTTAAAAGATAGGATCTAAACCAAAGTTTAACTTGAGGCAACGAAAACTCGCTTAGGAAAACCGGAAACAATTAATCTTTTTCTCCTTCAGGTATAAGATCACCGCGGGAAGTCGGAATTCTTTCTCTCTCTCTCTCTCTTTCATTTTTCCTTCCCCCTTTTTTTCCCCTCTTTTTTCGAGCAGGGCTCTTTCTCAGGCTCCTTCGGGGACAATGACGCGATGCAGCACCTCACGTCACACGTGCGACGCTCTTCGGTCGGCCCGTTCCCGCATTCGGCTGACCTTTATCCGACGAAAATAGCAGCGTAACTCGCTGGTCGCGGGAGCGCGCGAAAAGGGAAGGATGACGCGATGTGTTTGGGGGGGCACAGCTGATCTCCATAAACAAAGGCACACGTCCTGCGCCTCCGCGCGTACCTTCGTGCCGCGACACGGATCCAGGATCACCGATGCCCGATCCACGGTCGCGAATCCTCCTCAGCTCAGTCGCACCTGAGGACTACGCGCGAAGACTACTGCCCGCTCGCATATCGGCCGCCGTCCGCGCGATTATTCACTGGCGATTTAGACATCGGGAACATCAAAACTGCACATCTGTCTCTCCGCGCTTCACCATCTTTGCTGAGCCTCGGCCTCAGTCTCCTGGTCGCCTCCGTCGGAGATAACGCAGTCGCCGTCGGCCGGTGGCGACGCCGACGGCGGGCTCGACGAACATCGGCGGAAATAAGTCGTGAAATGACGGAGTTATCAATTGCGGATGTAGAAGTGTCCGAACAATCGAGAACTACGGTGACTACATAATCCTTTATTCCCGGGGTACTGGATATTTCAAGATTTTGTCTGTTATGGGTTTTTTTTATTGGATATTGTTAACGTGAGGTTTGTATGAATCTTTTTCATGTAGACAATACAAACGTATAAATTATTGCACAAGAGAGGTGAGGGGTTATTAAATAACCTTTTATATTTTACAGATTAACATTATATATTACAACCTCGCCGCTACGCATCTTTTTATCTTAATCTTGAGGCAACGCATTTATGAAAATTACAGGAAATACGTATGTAAAATTTATACATACGATATAAAGAATCGTATAATAATTAAAAATCTTCAATCAGTTATTGGTATACTTTATAAAATTTATATATAATTTGCATTCAAATTAATTTAAGTAATCATTGTATATATGCTAAGATATATAGATAATTATGTAATTTTATTTTTGGACAGGGATTTATGGATTTTAAAATGAAAAGAAAATGTAACACAATTAACTTTATGTTTAATTGCAATATTTACAGTGTATCTTGAAACATTGTAATTACAAAAGTACCCTTATTGCACACATAGTAGCATAGTCCTAAAAATATTATCCCCTAAAGAGGATATTATTACATACGCATACACCTATGCATCACGTTAGAAATAGTACTTTGATAACTTCGCAAGCGCTAATCATTAAATAAAACTCGCCGAATTAAATATATGATAGTCACAATTATCGCAGTAGACTTGGAAACACTTATTTATCTTGTTATTGCATTGAGTTATAATTATGATTATAATTATTGTCATTCGCGCGAAGATGATGTATATCGTGCCTACAAATCGATTTAATGCAATAAATGCATTGATTAATAGTTTACGATAAGATCATTGATATCTACCCATAGCTCGCATTGTCTACTTCACTTAAACTAAATATTATTTCTAATTTCTGTAAATAATAATGTAATAAGAAAAGAACATTTGTTATAATCTGAATTATGCGATTTAAAAGATATTGATATTTTTGAATCTTGTTTTCATCAATAATGAATTTGGCGAAAAAACGATTTAATGTGTGTATATAAAATTGACGTGACGTTCATAAATATGAATTAATAATTATTCATAGAGTAATACAATATTGATTAAAAAGCAGTGATTTAGATATTTTATCATATATAATGGACGTCACATCGACGCAACGTTTAGAGAGCAATTAAAATAGTATTATAAACTTTGTCTCTTAAGAAAAATTGATTTCTTAAAAGACACTATGTACACCTGTCCTTTTCGTTTATAACGCGCGAGATGCTGTTTTACCGATCAGAAAAAAAAAACATTTTGAGAAAGGGAATAAGATCTATCTTTGACAGTGGCATCCAGTGTATCCTTCGAGGGGAGGAACGACAGGACTAATTTATAATTTCTTCTATTTCCACGCCATTGGTTAATTACAGAAATTGTCATTCGGACTCTTAGACGTTGGCTCGCGGGGGGAAAGGGGGAGAGGGGGGGAGTTTAGGATGCCGGGTGTCGTCCTTTATTCTCAGGCGGTTATTTGACCAGGACGACGCGCCGGTATCCTGCGTCGGGGTGCCAAAAGACCGCTTAGACCGCGAGTTTCTTCATGTTTCGTGCTGGCCGCTGTGCTAGTCTCGGCGGAAGTGACCTCGGTTGGCTCGGCCTCCTCGGGGATGATCTCCTCCTCGGAGACGGTCTCCTCCTGACTCGATTGGATCGTCGGAGCTTCGGTTACTTTGCGTCGCGGTAGCAGAGGCGATCTTCTGATCGCCGGTGGCAACGATGGCGATTTTGTCGTTGCCTTCGGTTGTACTTGCAGCCGATTGCGATTACGCAGTTTATTCAGGGGGTTCGCTGTGGTAGCGCGTGCCGGGGGTGAACTGATTTCCGCTGGTGCCTGAAACAGAAGAAATGATTAGTCAAGCAATTTTGGTATGATTTGCTACTTCGTTGGAGCTCGACGTTTCGCTAAAATACGTGATAATAAATAATTTTTGAATTCCATTGCTACATATTAGAATTATTTGCAGGGAAGAAAACATGATTAAAAATATGATTAAAAAATAAAATTAAGAATAAACTTTTCAACTTCTGTGATACTTTTTTAGATTCTTATCCACGTTTTAAAAAATGCAGATAAAATCGATTATTCTCTCGAAGTTTATTTTCCACTGGAAGGAGGACTTTCAAAATTAATAATAGTGTAACAATATTATGTAATTTTTGCTTTTTTTTGTTTAAAAAGATAAATATCGCGTCTGTAATATCTGGAAACTAAAAAAAAGTATTAATTGTTTAGATATTAATTGTTATCGTTTAATTTTATTCATAAAATCAAAATTTATCGTTTTAGCTGGTTTGTTCTTCTCTTTCTTTCTCTCTCTCTCTCTCTCTCTCTCTCTCTCTCTCTCTCTCTCTCTCTCTCTCTCTCTCTCTCTCTCTTTCTCTCAGTTTCCAGCTAGTTATTTTGTACTTGTTGATGTTCAGCATTTGTAGCTCACGATGACCGCGAAGTTGTAAAGTCGAAAGGTGAAAAGCGATCGCGAACCATCTCCCGCCATCTCGCCGATGACATTTCGAAAGGCCATCCAGTGAAAGTAAACTCCAAGAGAGAATTTTATCGAGTGACATCACGGTGTCCTCGTACCTAATCTCGCAGAGCATGTAATTACCTCGCGATATACATATACATACATATTCGAGGTAGAATTTCAGAATTGATCTTACCTTTGGCACGCGGAATTGCTCGTAGATTGAGAGAAAGAAATATTTGCATAACTACAAGGTTTGCTCGGTAACAGAAACAATCTTTATAAAACAATGTCGATGATTATACAATTAGATTGGATCAGCTGAGAGAATTATTTTAAAAATCATGAAAATACAAATTTTTTGTTTTTAAATTTCGTTCGTTTAAATTTAAAAATAAATCTACAACTAATTCTCAAACAGTGTATCATTTCCTATTTATTTAGATTTCTAAACAGTATGTTTTATAAGAGAGATTTTAGTGCATTTTTTTAGACAATAGAGATTTTAGAATTTTAAAAACACATTAAAGGAAATATATTTCCATAAAAAAAGAGAGAAAGAGAAAGAAAGATTATAAAAAATGCAAACGTGAAAAGTTAACTACCAACCTCGTGAGTTTCTTCCTCGGTTCCTTCTCCGGCCGGTTCTTCAACGGATCCCTCGGGGGCTTCCGGTGCGAGCGTGGTAGTCGTCGTCTGTCCCGGTTTCTGTCTTAAGTTAATCCTGCCACCCGGTCTGATGGCCGGTCTGATCGCAGGAGCACCAGGAAGTCTCGTGCGAACGGCAGACTTTGGCGTAGCGCTTTCCGCTGGAGTCTGGGCGACGGTCTGGCTGGTTTGCTCGGAATGCGTTGCACCTTCCTGGGGTTCCTCACTTCCTGGCGCGGCTGTGGTCGGCCGTCCACGTCTTCGATTGATGTTTATTTTATTGAAAGTAGGTCGCGCCGGTGCAGCTGACGTCGCGCCGTTCGACGCCGGCGCCGACGTCGTCGTGGAGACGGCGATTCTGCCGCCGGAAGGTGCACGGAATCTGCCGCGTCCGGACGGCGGTTTCTCCGCGTTCGCCGAGCTGGCGGTCTCCTTCTGCACGGTATCCTCTTCAATCGGCTTGTGATTGCCACCACCAGGTCGAGGTCGTTTGAACCCACCGCCGTTCGAGCCACCATTGGCACCGAAACGTCCTCGGGTTCTCTGAGTCGGTTCTGCGGGTGCTTCGGTCGTGCTAGTGCCGCCATTGGACTTGAAGCTAATGAAGATTAAAGAAAAATGATATTATTTATTAATATCAATTTATATTTGTTTAAATATAATATTTGTTAATATTTATAATAATATTATTTATATTATAACTGTTATTATTAAAAGATATGTGAGCAAGAATTTTTAGAGCAGTAGAGTATTGAAGAGAAATAAATTAAAGATTTATTCTGAAATATACCGGTTTCTGGAGATAGTTGGACCGCCAATTCCAGGTCGTCGGAATTTTCCTCTTCCCGCGGGAGCCTGAGTGGTGGTAGTCGGTGGTTCCGTGGTGGTTGTTGTCGTGGTCGTCGGTTCGGTCGTCGTTGTCGTCGTCGTTGTCGTGCTAGTGGATTCATGAGTGATAGTAGAATCAGCAGGCTCCGTCGTTATTGCCAAATCAGTTGTGATTTCATCGTCGGGTAATGTTGTACTGTTCTCTGTTTCGTTAGTTTCGTTGCTAGATGCGTCTATCAGATTACTTTGTCCTTGTTGCAGGAAGGCGTAAAGATCTAGGGCAACCTTGTCCATAACTGATGGATATTCTGTCGTTGGGTTATCCGTGGTATCAGAGCTAACGCTAGGATGAACCGGTGAAGCTTCTGTCTCACTAGATTCTTGCGTCTTGTCTTCTAAAGATATACGTTTGTTATCGGGCTTTTCCGGTGCGACTTCTTCCTCTTCATCGTCTTCCTCACTGTGACGTATCGGTTGGCCTCTGCTTAATTCCACTCCGGTCTGAAAATTCATTTATTCACGAAAATTATGATTATTTTTATACTAAAATATTTGCGAATTTAATTCCAATCTAATTAGTATTAAAAATGCATTTAATTACAAAGCATTATTTAATATTTATTTTAGTAATTTAAATTAACTTTTGCAGAGAGTGCGTTGTATTTCAGTTAATGTTAATGTTTCCATTTCTGTTATTAATGTGATGCAATTTTATTAGAATATCTGATCGGAATCTCTAATCTAAATTTTAAATTTTACTTAAATATTCTTTTTATATCTGAAATTTAAAATTTAAAATAAATTATTCATTTATTTTAATAGTTAAAGAATAATTACTTCAGTTGAAGCAGTGGTGCTCACGCGTCTTCTAGGTGGCGGTGCATCGTCGACAACTTCTTCGACAGGAGCGGGTTCTTGAATTCTCTGCGGTCTTCCGCGGCTTCTGCTTAAAGGTTTGTCTTCGTTATCCTCATTAGGGGTAACGCCTAGAAATCTAACGGGTCCTTTTGGTAAGGTTTGCGGAAACTCGGGACCTTCCTGATGAGTCCGGAAACTACTGGAATCAACCAAATCCAAGCTCGGTCGCGGACGATTATTACGAGTTCGTGAAGATTCCGTTGTGCCCGTATTATGATTCGATCTCGATCTGTTAATCAATCGTATAATTAGTCATATTTGATGTCGAAATGTAAAGTTATTGATGATAAAAATTTGAGCATTGTAGAAAAAGAAAGAAAAAAAAATAATATATATATATATATATTTCTAGAAAATTTCATTTTTGAAGAAATGTTGCACTTTTAAAAGAAATTGCACTTTTTAAAAGAAATTGCACAAAGAAATCAAAATATTTATATAGTTTCAAATTGATATAGTTTATTAAATGTTATATAATTCTGATAAGAAAGGTACCTCGGTGGGAAACGAGTATTCGCGGGCAGTCTTTCGTCGGAAACGTCTTCAGTTTCGACCAGTTGTCTGCCTCTATTACCATTTCTATTCGGTATGACCTCATTGTTGCTAGGCTCTACTGTGCTCGACCTCTCCACGGGATTGTATTTGCTCCTGTTGCTGGCGGTGCCTGCTCTCCTGGGCACGGAGGTTGTTCTGGAGGAAGGAATGTCGTAAGAATTCGTCACAGCCGAACCCGCCGTACCTGCTTTGTTCTCATCCTCCTCATCGTAGTAATAATACACGTACTCATATTCGTAATCCTTCCCGTTCGGTCCTTTCTTCACCTGTTGGATGTAAAAAAAGCAAGCTGAAATTTTATTTAATATCAAATATAATTTTTTAGAAAGAAATAGTACAGAAATAGAACAGATGGGATTACGTGTAGTTTTATATTGCTTAAAAGAAATTCTTGTTATATATATTTTATTGTATTTCATAAATGCATAATGTACCTGTATACGAGAATTCGTACCAGCCGGTACCAAACTCACATCACCCAGATCTCCAAAATTCGCATCCGGAAAACGTGAATAGCCATCTTTACTATCTTCACGAATAATGTTTACGGGGACGAAGTCAAAAAGGCTGTCTTTGCCACGTGCTTCACGTGGAGTTGTCAGGATAGGTAGCATAGTTGTTGGATATTCCGCGCTAAAGATATGCAAATAACGTTGCATCGTCGTTGAAATAAAGAAAGAAATTTTTTATGACACTTTATTTCACATTTCATGTTTGTATGCAATGTAAAAGTAGTTACACTAAAAGGGAAAGAGAGAAGAGGCAGAATCACATATTACTAAAAATAGACGAAATCATAAATTCTTCCAAATTTTCACTAAATTTTTAACTAAATTTTCACTAAATAAAAAAACTAGACAAATTAGAATATTTCATTTTTTAGGTGTTCAGATATCGATAAACATTCAAAGAAATGGCAAATTAGGATACAAATATTCATTCATTAATTATTTATCGATGGTCACTTTGGATCGTCAGAAATTTGTCTCGCTGCGTTTTATTTATGGAAATACTTCTGATTAAACAAGTTTTTTTATAAGAAAATAATTTACCTGACGTAGACACCCGGAATAACTTCATCCTGTTCGCTTGGCCGCGGCCTTTTAGAATCGATTTTCTTTATTTTGCCTTCTTGCAGAACCTTCCCAGTGTCGCTAAAATTTTCGAGTTCTACTCGTGCTTGTCTTTTTGCAGTGAAACCATCTAAATCATCCTCCTCGACTAAATCTAAACGTCTGGCAGGCTCGAGAATAATTGCTTTTTTCTCGGTATTCTCAAATTTCTTAGTTTGTTTATTGTCTTTAAGCGCGACTTTCCTTTCGTCGATGTATTCGTCATCATCGTCATCATCTAATGGTTTTGCTATGTCTTCCGGCACTTTGTGTGATGTCACGAACTCTGAAAATTTATTAAAATTTGTAATCTCTCGATTAATTAAAATAAAAATATTACAAAATGTAAGAAAAGTTGTAATTCACAATTATATCACAAATTTACTATTTAGATTTGTAAAGACTTCTGGATCTTATTGTTTTATCTGACCGATGTGTTTAATTATTTTATTTTGCATTTTATTGAAATTACGCGAATTTTCTAAATTTTTGTTATAGTTAATTTAATGCACCTTCAATCGCGATGGCTCGCGGTGGCTGATATGTCGTCGCTGCGACATTTTTTCGTGTCAAACTATCACCGGGTATCTGCACGATATCCGATGAACTATCAGCTAGCGTGCCCGCAATGATGCCGCATATTCTGTAAATTTTAATGCAAAGACACATTAATAAGTCTAATTTGATTATTTTTAAACGTCATAAAGTATAAAGAAAATTTGACTAGTGTCAATTTCTATATTACACAAATCGATATGTGATTAATATAAGGAGAGTACAAAAGAAAATTATCATATTATTGCAAATGTGATATATTATCGATAATGATATATTATCAGCGAAAGTGATAAAGCGCGTGTAAGATGTATTGAGGCGAAGTGTAAACCATGACAGAATGTAGCTAATGCAAGACTTGATTGGTGGTGAAAGTTCACATCTGGTCGTCGAATCGCAAGCTGCATCCGACGCTCGTCCGGTTTTCTTGGCACTCTTCGCACCCATTGCGCAAAAATTAAAGTTCACCAATAACGTAAAACGTAAATGCGTGCCATTTCTAAGAATATTTCAACACTTCCAAGAACTTTCTGAATTAAACTGAAGGAAGCAATTTAATCGTACTTCGTAAAAAATTGTACTTAATACATGCTAAAAATGAATAAATTTTTTTTCTCAATAAATAATACATAATAATAAAGATGTGAAAAGAATTATTTTAATTTTTGGAAAATAACTTTATTATATTAATTTAATTTATTTTTGGGGAATATATTAAAATCGTCTCAACAAACATTTAGATATTAGCATACAATCTTGTTTTCATTCTTTCCAAGATTGCAGAGATTGATGTCTATATGATAGCTTCTGGAATTTATGAACTTTTTAACCTAACGTTATTAACACATGGCTATTTCTATCCAGCCATTCATATAATATCAATAAAATTTTGATATTTATAAAGTTATTTTCTATATTTCTGCTGTAAAAAAACAGAGAGAAACTGATCCGGTCAAAAAAACAGTAGTGAGACAATGAAAATCTTGAATTTATGGCGTTGTATTTGCAAGGACGATCGGTTACGATCAATTTCCTTCATGAACGAAGGAGAGCCGCTTCTGAAATTAACACGAATGTCCAGAGCTTTTTTCTCCGACAAAATGGTGCCCGGCAAGGGCACTGTGTGGTCACGGAATTATTATTTTAAAAGGTGATCTCTCTGATGCAATGCCACGTATGTATCTTTGATGCAAAGTGTTAAAATAACTTGTGCATGTTAATATTACAACAGTTTTGCACCGCCAGTTATAACTTGTTTTGCTGTGTTACATTTCTATATTTAAAAAAATGCAAAATATAATTTTCTTATATACAATTTTCACTGTTCATAATAATTTTTTTTTTTTATTTGTTTTACAATCAATTTTATTCTGCAGATTAAAAAAAAACATTCGAGTTTTATCATGTCAAATCTAGTTTTATCATGTAATCAATGTTTCACTATTCTGTTATTAATTTGCTGTACTTATGGAAGAGAAATAAGCCTACGACATTTACAACAGGAAATCGCTGCTGAATATGCACCGACAAACCGTTCCGTTTGAGCGATCTTCCGGTGCAGGAATAGCTTACGACTGGGATTGTAAATTATTCCTTTCCTCCATTTGCAAGTAAAGTAGAACAAATATAAGACACATTCTTTTTCACCTTCGTTTGCGATCAAGTTAGATAGGAGACTGCTAAGTAACTATATTTGAATAGAATGTATATTTCAGTTTACAATTGTACCATTCCTATATATTTGCAAAAATATATTTTAAAAATATATTTTTAAAATTATCGGTTTTTAATATTTTATAAAACGTATAATATAAGTAAAAATTTTAAATCTGATAATTACAGGATTAAGAAGCATAATAGTGCATCCCATAATTTAATCTTAGGTTAATTTAATCTTAGGTCGAAAATTGACGCTTGCAAATGCAAGAATTTATCGCGAAATCGTATGGAGAAAGCGGTCTCGCTTATAAGCGTATCTGCATAAACACTGCGTACGTAGGTATCTCCAGTGGCACGAGACACTGGCATTACGTAAGTTACAATATTACCGCAAAAGCCTATTACCAACTCGTAAATATTTTTTTTCGCACCGCCTACGAAACGTGGCTCTCTATGCATAAATTTGTTAAAAGTTAATGAAAAAAAAAATGCTAAGTCTTATTTATCTAAAATTTTTATCAATTTCCCCCTCATTTTTTTTTATTATTAGCATCACAAATTAGAAAAAAATATATAATGTAAAAACATATGTAATAATTAGTCAAAAACTCAATGACATATTTTATAATATAATAGTTTCTTTAGCCAATAAATCATTTTTTAAATACTAGCTAATTTAACTAATTTTTCAGTAATCTAGATCTGTTTTAATTCTTATATGAGTTTATTTAATTCTTTAAAATAACATAAACACAAATACTAACGAATCTGAGGTCAGATTTTTCGTGGAATATTCTTGGAATATTTGCAACTATTTATTGCAGAAAGCATCATAAAATCGAAATGCAAATAATGAGGCATTTAAAATCTACTGACCTAAACTTTCTTCTGCCAATAATTCCGCCTGATGTTTTAATTATGTATATTTATGAAATGAGTAATAATTTGTATTATTTGAAATTTCAAAAATTAATTTTTAAATATATCATTAAATATGAAGAAATTAAAAATATTT